ATTTTGTAGCAAAGCCTTTATTAAGTTCAACAGCAACCAATCTCTTACTGTAGTTTTTAATTAACAATTCGCATATTTTAGTAGGTATTTTATCCCATTGATGTTTGTTGGACCTCTATCTCAGATCTTATTTTTCAAAAACCGCCATAAATTCTCTATTGGATTCAAATCCGGCAACTGACTGGGCCATTGTAAGATGTTAATGTTGTTATTATCAAGCCAGTTATTCGTACTCTTAGCAGTATGCTTGGGATCATTGTCCTACTGGAAGATCCAATCAAGAGGAAGCCCAAGATTCTCTACAGAAAGCGATAAATTTTCACTTAGGATTTGTTGATATTTTTCTGCATTCATTCTACCGTCTATAATTGCTAGTTTGCCAGCACCTCACATTGAAAAGCAGCCCCAAACCATGATACTACCCCCACCAAATTTGACAGTTGGTATGGTGTTCTTGTGTGCGCATGCTTCGCCGTCTTTCCTCCATACATGATTCAGGGAATTGCGACCAAACAACTCAATTTTACTCTCATCTGTCCAAAGAATTCTTTCCCAATAAGAATTTTCCTTATCTTTATGCTCTGTTGCAAATTTCAACCTGGCATCTCTATGCCATTTCAGAAGGAGTGGTGTCTTTCTTGGGGAGCGCGACTTTATACTATCTCTGCGTAGTTCATTTCTAATCATTTGCTTAGTTACGTTAACTCACCATTGGGTTATTTTGGACCTGTCGCATCAACTTTCTTCATAATCTGGGAGAGATCTTCCTGGGAGCACCGGGTATGCCTTTGTTCTCAACAGTATTATGTCTTTTAAATCTTGCAATAAATGAACCAATTGTTGAAAAAGGTATGTTCATGTAACTGGAGATGTTTCTGTAACATTTTCCATTGTTCCATAGCTTAATAATTAGCTCTTTTTGAGCACAAGTCATTTCCTTATGTCTAGCCATTATTAGAACCATTATCAGTGAACAGTGACTGCAGAATGATCCAATTTTGAACTGAATGTTGCAATAGAGTTACTGAGAATATTCTAGAACAGTTTAGAATCTTCTACTTTGAAGTACAACCAAAATCTACCGTATTATAATGCAAAATTGATACTGTACGAACATTTTTTCCACTGTTCGAAATATAAAAATTTGCATAACTATCACTTATCAATGAATTTCTAATTTTAAATTGCAGATTCTGATTCTACACCCCCAAATACATATATAACATTGTTATTTGTGGTTTTCATTTGCTATAAGTAAGAATAACAAGCATTTGTTTGGCGTACAATCACTTATTCAACCCCACTGTGTGTGTGTATATATATATATATATATATATATATATATATATATATATATATATAAATTTTAGTGAAAATTTTTAGTGCAAATTTGGTATTTAGTCAACTTTCCCTTCTACTATTTAAATTATTTGCTTTGGCTAGAAAATGACTAATGCTAACCAAAAGCATGAAGAAATAATAGTAAAGTCAGTGGGCAGTGATAAAACATAATGGATATTTATCTGTACAACAATCTGAATGGAACATGGCATAAGGCCAAGTTTAAAGAGAGTATCCTGCATATATATAGGACTAGCAAGAAAATTACTCAATCCCTACTAGCATTTTCCCTTTGGGGATCTTTCAGGTATCAAAGATTAACTTGAGCCCCTCTTGAAAGAGAGATATTGCCTAGAAGGACAGCACCCTTGGGCTTTAGCACATTATACCACATTTTAACTCCATGTGCTCCTGGTTGGGCTAGGGAAATTTATGATAAGGAAACCTTATGCATGTAGATCAGGCTCAAATACAGATTGTATTAAAATACAACTGAGATAATTGTTTTTGTTTTTTTCTGTACTGCCAGAATTTGCTGTGTCACTATATTTGTAATTATTAGAATTGTCTGTCAGGGGTCTACTCTTAATACTCATTAGGTAGCATTGTATAAAGTAGCCTAAAAGGGGACTCAAACTCTTTCTTTCTTTTTGCTCTCTTCAACCACAAGATGCTGTAGTGACAAGATATATCCTGTTTCCCTTCTGGATTGCTTTTTAACCCCCATGCAAACCACAAGATTTTTCTCAACTTTTTTAAGCTATGTTGTTCTCAATATAAATATGTATAAAATTCATGTATGTGTTGAATTCATTTTGAAAATGTTAAGACATTCAACTGTTACAGAATAAATTAAAGTTTTGTGGTGTTTGTTAAATAAACCATATCTATGATATCACATTATATATAAACAGTTACATATCAGCAATGTGAAGATTTTTCTTTGTGCATTATTAAAGATATTAAATAGATATTTAAGATTCTATTGATGACTTGTAAAACTTATATTGTGAAAATTAGACAGCTACTTGTACAGTTAAATATGGGTAACTGAATGACAAAATGGAAAAAATTCTAAGTAACTCATTACTACTTTCAAAAGGACTTCTTCAGGCTAAATAATTTTTTTATTGATGGAATCATATACATGTAGGGGGAGAGAAAATATATAAATATTGGTTTTAATTAAACATTGAGAGAAATACTGAAGACACAAGAATGCCTAATTTTGAATTTAAATTTTAAATTTCTGGCATTCGACGTGTTGAGATGTATAGCCTAGCCAACTTCATTAAGCTTGACATTAAGATGTACAGAGTATCGTGCTAATGTGCACATGTGTGTGTAATAGATATATACTATACCTATATTTTGGTTGCTGTTGTCATGGAAACTGCTTAGTTTTAAAGTTGAATTTCAATAAGCAGAGGAATAGACAGACTAGGCAAGAGATAAGAAAACTCAGAAACAATTCATTATATCTAGATGAATATAAGGAAGATTATTGTAATGTCATAATACTGGAGTTTAGTCTACCACAACTATGATGATGACAATGTTTATCTCTGGGATTCCTCATACTGAACTTACTGGCAATAGTTGCAGTGATGAGTCTTCTCAGTAACTGCTTTGAATAGTCTCATTACTGACAAAAGCATCTTCCACTAATCTAGCTATTGATTACTTCATTCAACAAGAAAATATATGAATGATCAATTACTATGATTTTGAAAACCTAAAAAGATTCTTCTTTTTCAATTTTACTTCTTCCAATTCTTTTTCAGATTTTCTTTCACTCCTTCTTCCAATTCTTTTTCAGTTTTTTCACTCTTTCTTTCAATTTTTTCTTTCAATTCTTTTACTTTTATTCTTTCTTCTACTTTCACTTTCTCCTATCATTCTTTCTTCTTTTACCTCTTGCATTTCATTTCATATTTCTCTTTCATTTCTCCCATTTTCACATTTTTATTTCTTCTACTTTTACTTTTTCTTTCATTTTCACTTTTCTTGTTCATTTTCCTTTATTTTCTATTTCTTTTCATTTCTTCTGTTTCTTTTTCCTTCATTTTCTTCATGTATTTCTTTTTCCTTCATTTCTACTCTTCTTCTTCACCACCACCACTTCAGAAATAATTTATATGACTTGACTTACAGTAATCCAAAATTCACGAAAGAAAGAAAAAGACAAACATGGATTGAAATAAAGAAACATAACTCTCCTCCTTCATTCTTTCCTACCAGAATCAAGATCCAGGCTGTTCTGTTTCTGCCACGCAATCTTTTTCCTGCACAATTTTGCTTCACCTGGGACTGCCAGCTCGTGCAAGTTGGTGAGACGTGACTTGAAGATTCAAGATGGCTGAAGGTACTTTTTGAAAGATAAGAAAGAAAGCTAAGCAAAACAGTGAATAAAAAAAAAAAAAAAGAAAATGGCCCAGAGGCAGAGATAGAGCAAGAATAAAGGCAGGTGCCATTTCTTTGTGTGTTAGTGGGAAGGGATGAAGGATCTTTATACTCTGTGGAATTGGCTCAAGTCTGTAAAAGATCTTACTGGGCAGCAATAGATCTTTGTTACTGATAAAGCAATCTCAGCTCACCAGATGTGGTTCACATCAATACAACAGATTTGAACAAAACAAGAAAATAAGTTTGAGCAAAAAAGAAGCTGTTATCTTTAAAAATTTCAACTATTTGTCTTTAGTTGGTGATGAATTTACAACCAAGTAATTCTTTTAGTAGAGATTTTTCTCTTATTTTCAACAGGAACTTTTATTTTTCTGAAATTTTAATAGAAAGTTTCTAGCAAGATGCCACATAATAATTTTTCAATTTTTAAAATACTTGAAGATGATATTTGCCTTTCTTAGGAAATAGCTAATCATAACAAATTTTAAATGTTTTTTTACAAATGCAATCAAATAAAGCAGTTTAATAAGACTTTATTAGAACAGTTTCAATCTTAAAACGAATGTTGCTTATTTAAAAATTGAGAATAGTGTTTTAAAAATTATGACTTATTTTAAAACTGAGGATAGATTCTATTTTTTAATTATGATTTATTTTAATATTGAAAATTAATACAATTTTTGAAAATATGATGTAGTTTTCAGTACTAAAAATAATTTACAACATATTTCTATAACAGAAATTTATACATTATACATATAATAAATCTTGCATAAATTCCTGGTCACTGACAGTTAAATTTGTGAGTCCTATAATTCATAAGGGTTGTAGAGGAATCATATGTTCTGTAACCATAGTAGCAATGTGTGTCCATAAGGTAAGATAGCATAATAACCGGTTTTACATTCAGAGTTGATTTTCTCCTAGATTGGCTACCACTCAAAGCAAGAGAACCCAGTTTACCCTGATATTTAACTGGAGTTAGTGATTTGTTTTTTTACAGCTTACCACCCTTTTGCAGGTTATTTAAAGCCATAAAATACTTTTAGATTGTAAGAATTTTGCGGGGATGATAATGATTTACTGATACAAGTACTACTAATTAACCCTAATTGATGGGAGAAAAGGCGGTTCATACCTTTCCCAAGGGTATTTGTGTGTAAGTGAATATAATGAAGCTGACTGGAATTGGAACTTGGCTTCCCAATTACTAATTCCAAGCCATTATCCATTATACTAGTCACACATCCAAGCTTACAGCACCCGGTACTCCCAAGCAGTCACCCATCTAGATACTGACCAGGCTCAACATTGCTTAACTTCAGTAATCATATGAAAACCAGTGTTTGAATGTGATAATGTGATGTGTTATCACATTCAAACACTGGCAAACAATGGAGTCATGCCTTAAAATTTGAACTCAGCATGATATGTATGTTATGATTTTCACCTTGTATAAAGGTCCAAGAGCCACTCAAGGTAGAGGGTTACAGAGTAAGTGGCACCACCCAAAGCAAGGTGATAATGCAACCATGACACAATGGGCCACTGGAAGTGAAAGAGAAGGAAAAGACTTTAGAAGGAACTGGAATCTTAAACAGGAAACAAAGGATAAACTACTACTCCTGTTCAAAAGACCCGTGAAGAGTATGAATTGGACAAAAGGCAAATGGGCAAATGTATCTACTCCCATTGATGAGGAAAAAAAAGTAAATAAAATTTTATTTTTCACACTGATAACTGTTACACAATATGCATATCCAACATTAATCTTTGCCTGATTTTAAATGTTCCTGACAGTCTTAAATATTGCTCAAACAAATTTAAGCAGAAAAACTAAAGCATTCAGTGCTTAATTAAAAGAAACAGAAAAATTCTTAATGTAGAATATGACTAAAGCTAAGGTGAAGAGTTGTGGTGTAGTGGTAAACTCAATGGGTACTGAAAGATAATGTTGAAAACTTGTCTGTATCATCATGTTCAAATTGCTATATCACTATATATGTAAGCATTAGAGTTGCAACTCCCATGACTTATAAATTTCAGTCATAGTCTAATTTTACAGGTCAACACAATCACTACAAGTGGCCCAGTGGGAGAATGAATGGTTTTATCCATTTCTAAGACTAGAGATCCCAGTCTACCTTAATATTTAATCTATAGCTAGGGGGAGAAGAGATTAATTCATACCTTTTTCAAAAGTATTTGTGTCAAAATGAACATAAACTCGAACAAAATTCAAACACCAATTACCCTTTCCAAGCTGCTAATTTTTATACTATCCGCACATTCAATTACTCATTAAATATTCATATATTCATACTAATTTTGCTATCTTTTGTTGTTATTTTTTATCATGTTTCAGTCACTGTAATCTGCCCAAGGTATTTTGAAATGTTCAGCTTTGTTGTAATGGGACATTCATATTTTTTCCTAAACATCTCATATCCAGAATCTTTGCCTTTTAGCTCTTGGAATTGTTCTTTCTTAACCCATGTATTGGAACTGTTAAATTAGATGGAACTTGATGAATTATACCAGCACTCCTATTTTGGTGATCATGGTTATGGAGCCTCAAATTCATTATTTGTTCTTTTTAGATCAGTGATTCCAATATACTATTAATATCTATGATTCTCATTGAATAATTTGAGCATGCTTCATCAGAACAAAGTCCCCAAAATTCTAAAATACAAAAGACAAATGAGAAAGGCTGCAGGAAAGCAGCTGAAACATCCTCATGAAAATACAATAAAAAATGAGAAAATTAGTACAAACAAACCAATATGGAATAATTACAACAATTCTCAAAAAACTGAAAACAAAAATTTGTATTCACAAGTTTAGAATTTGTTCTTACTATTTTTCATAAAGGATTTTCTAACGCTATTATATTCTAAGTTGTTTCTCTCATGAAATTTGGAACACACACATGCCACTATGAAAACACACACACACATACAGACACACATATATATATGTATAAATACCTAGTGTAACAGCAAAATTATCCATGCCACAAAATGTTTAATATCTTAAAAAAAAAAAAAAAAACACTAAACTAAATGAGTTTCATTTTATCAGGTTTTCATATAAGTTATCTTGACACTATTTTCCATAAGAATCAATGAAAAACCCTTTGAGTTATTCAGCTAAAAAGAGAGCAGTTTAAAATTGTTTTGTATCAGACACACTGTTTTCCCAATTGAACAATGATAAGAGGAAAAAGATCATACCTACAGGAATGGTGCCAACATTCATAATCTGGCTTCCATCTTCAAAGTCCATTCAAGAACCATCAACAGAATGGTGAATAAGTTTAAAAAAGAGGGAACAGTAGAGAGGAAAACTGGATCAGGAGGTCACAAGAAGAGGGATCACATTTCAACTTAGAACTAAAGAGATCAATTAGAAAAGATCCAAATCAATGCATAAGATGTTTGGCATGTGAGAGAAGAGTTTAGGCTATGCCAGTTGAAAGAGCAATGAAAAAAAACTTGAAAATGAAATCATATGTTAAACCTGTGAAGTACCTTGTCACTCCAGGACAGAAAATTAGAAGGGTAAAGATCATCTTGATTAAGTTGGAAAATAATCCTGGAATAATACATATGTATTTGAACTTTATTTCAATACTTCATGACCTTCCAATCCTTAGCTATGATAAGTTAATGATGAACATGTCATTTTCGTTTATGATCGATTTCATCACAATACTTCTGTTAAGCACATGTATTTAAACTTATTATTATTGAGCAATGGACTCACATTTTACATGTCCAACTAAAACTTGACATGACCACACATGATACAGAAACACAAAAATTACAATATGATAGCAATTTGTTCATAATACTATAATGCTAGTGTAACATTGAAAAGCAAACTGCAACAACAATGATTACAAATTTTACAAGCTATTCATATTAAGTAAAAACAATAAATTATTAACAAAATCACTTATAATGTATTTAAATTTTTAGAAACCATTTAACACCATGTTCACGTCTCACACAGTTAAATTCATATGACTTCAAATGCATTCAGAAAATTAGGAATAATTAACATATTTAAAATAAGGATACAAAATTATCAAAGGACTTTAATTTTTGACAATGACAAAGTCAGTCAATAACACAAAATACTTAATCAATGAACATGAACTGTGGATAGTTCCTTCATTGATTTCAATCTTAACATATGAAAATGAAACCATCAATTAGAGAAAAATATATTAAAGTATAGAAGACATAATTTGACTATTTTAGTTAACAAAATGTGCTTGTATGTGTCTGCATGTGTGAGTAAAAAATCTGGCAGAATATGGAAGACAATTTGGAAAAAATCTTTACTTTGATATGTTTGACCAATTATCTAGTATCATCAAAAGAATTAAATTTATGAAATAAAATTCCTTTTTTCTGATTATGCTAGATAATTTCAAATTGTAAAATTACATATTCACCATATATACCTCAATAAACTATAAAAAATAAAAAATGATGTAAATCTTGCAAACTGGTTTTTCAATTTTTTTTTGCTTTCCAACTCCTCAGGCTGCTTGTTTCAAAAGTGACTAATATCATAAATGGCCCTGAAGTTATCTCATCCTCATCAGATAAGTTAAAGCTGTTTGCAAAGATCTTTGCCTCTAACTCCACATTAGGTGACAAAGGTCATCCCCTTCCTGACTTCCCCCTCTCACAAACTTAATAATATTTCTATCACAACCATTTATTAAAGCCTTGACCCTAAGATGGCTACTGGTTCAGATAAAATCCCAGTGGTTGTCCTTAAAAATATTAACCTGGAGTTATCACCAATTTTAGCAAAATTGTTCAACTGCTTCCTGAAAGAGAAATCTTTCTCAATTCTATGGAAAGTATCAAGTGTATACCCAGTTTTCAAGAATGCGGGTGAACGCTCATCCTTGTCTTAATATTGGTCCAACAGCCTCCTCAATGTCATCAGCAAACTCTTTGAGGTTATAATCAACAAGAATGTTGTCAAGCACATCAACAGGGAAAACCACTTGTGTGACAAAATACGAGTTTCAATCTACTTGGTCCACTGCTAATATCTTAACTGTCATTACTCACTGAATCAATGTGGCATTAAACAATAAACATAACAAGGATGATTGGATTGCATATATCAAAGGCCTTTGGCAAGACACAAACTCTCCAGCCATGGAATCACTAGAAGGGTTTTCTCAATGATTTACCTAAGAGCATACTCTGATCTCTTTTGAATATCTATGTAACAGTATATGGGTGCACTTCCAAAAATCTAGATGACTAGAGCCTAGCAGCTGATCTCTCATCTGATCTAACAACTCAATGGGGAAAAACTGTGGTATAATTTTCATATTCTTTTTTTACAAGATTTAGACACTGCCAACATGCATTAAACAATGAACTTTGTTTTTACTTAACAACATAACAATCTTTTTTTTTCTCAACCAACCAGCTTATACAGTCTTTTTTATAGAATACTTCATAGCATCTGTAGTATGTTGCAAATGTAACCTCTTCATCAGGGTTATATTTAAATTCACCAATTGCATTTACTACTGAGTCCTGTGAGCAAAAAAAAAAAAAAAGATGTGTTTTTGTTACTTTTATTCTTCATAAAAAGTTCTAGTATTTTTTAGCTGTTGTTCTTGTCTTAATGTTTCCTGGAATTGTTGTTGCTGTTGTTGTCATTCTCCTTACTGTTGTTTTATTAATTCCAACATTACTGCTTGAAGTCCTCTATTTTTAATTATTTGACTTGAAAATTTGCTTCAAATGTATATTTCAAATGTTTTTAATGTTCCGTTGTCTCCAGCATAAGTTTTTTTATGTATTCTTTCACAAGGTGAAAAAAATGAATTCTTGTCCACCACTATTATAATAAATAGTGAGTCGTCATTGCCACCAACTGTTGTGATGTGGGGTTTGGTCTTAACATGACAGTCATGATAGTAATATTCAATACTCAGCTAAACAAGTCATGGCAATAGTATTATCTTCTTCCCTTTTAGACAATTACCCTGGACTACTCATCATGAATGATAGTAAGGAGGGTAACTGGCTCTTACCACAGCAATGATGCTCTAAGTTTTTGTTCCTTTTACTATGGCCAGTTATTAAGCACACAACTGTTTGGGTCAAGTCACTTTTTGGAGCAACCAACACTTTTATCCACTGGGCCATTAATGAGTGAATTTTTGGGACTTATAAACCTAATGTCTCAGTAAACATTTTTTTACCAGAGATCATATTACAATATTTTGTTATTGTTTTACTGTAGCTCTCTATATTACTGGTTCCTATATTGTATTCATGTCTATGCTTGGTCAGCTTAGGAG